CTTTCCAGTGTAGGCATTTACACAAAGAGCTCCCAGTATAGCCATTCTTGCAAATCATGTGTAGATTAGGAAGCATAGTCAAGCTACCTTGTGCATATCAAGTAAACAATTTACAGATTTGCTTTCAACTCATTAAGTTTGGTAACTAATCACAGATAGCATCCATGAAGTATGAGGCATATCATTCAAAGATCTACTTGCAAACTCTCCATCAGAAGAAAGTAATGGTTTTCCCCCCAACCTTTTTTGTGTGCCAAGTGGTGGCTTTTCTTACTTTGAAGATCATTATTAAAATCTCTGAAGGAACTTTGCTCAACCATTTTGAGGGGAAAAATCTTATTCCACAGTAGACCAAGCATGGAAAGCTTGATCTGAAAGACATGGCCAGTCACAAGCTTGTGACAACAGGGATTTTTAACTGAGCCATTTTATTAGCTATAGCAGTTTCAGATGAGTGGTACAAGATACTAATATGCAGGGAAAGGAAGTGAGAGATGAAATACCAATGATATAATGTGATAGCAGAATCTGAGATTCTAGGCATAAACCCATTGCTTATGTGCAGGTACCCTCTAGACTTAATACATACAGTATTTAGTAAGCTATCCCAAATATAGCTGGCCACATGCTTCCTTAGGGGGAGGTATGTTTTCCTGATCTTGACATGCACAGAAGTTTGTCTGGAGCTGTAGTATCAGGCCTCAAAAAAGAACCCAGCATAGATGGGGAGGGATGGTCTGTGCCCTCTGAGCACTAGAACAATCTAGGTCTATATCTCTGCAGGCTGTGCAGCAGGGCTATAAATCAACTTTAGACTCAGTCAGCATGGCTCAGAGGAAGCTTGGTTTCCAACAAAGAAAACCAAACTCAGTATTGATTAGCTAGGCAGAGCCATCTGCCAAGTTTCCTGGCAGGTTTCTTTTACTCTTGGTAGCTTAAAAACAAAAGGGAAATTAAACACTTATCTGATAGACTTCTCAGAGGTGCACTCTTCTACCAGAAGTAAAGAAGCCCATCTCCTAGACAGCTTCTTAAGAAGGTCAGACATTCTCTTCCTTTTAAAAACTCTTAAGACCCTTTCTGGTAAACACCTGCTCTGCTAATTAGAAAAAGCTGGGCTCTGTAATTGGCAGATTGAGCCTGATACCTGGGGGTGGTGCCTAGTTCCCTTTGTAGGAAATTAACCTTTCCCTACCTGACTTACTGTGAGGCATGCCCATCCCACCTCATGCAGAAGGGTGCAGATTGCAGCACCTCTAGAGCCTTATAACTATACCAACATAGGAGCCCTATGCAAGTCATGCCATTTGCTTAACAGTGTTTCTTTGCAGGAAGTGTTGCACACTTGTATGTGTACCGGATATGTACAAAATTTGCTTCCCTGTGCAACCCAATACCAGTCACAGTTTGTTGCCTGTTACCTACCTTATGACAAACTCCAGTTATCTACATGTTAAGTGCTTGAACTGCTTACGTGCATAGGAACTCCTAGCCCCAAATTTGTAAGGCTACTATACTCTGTTTAAGTGCACAATTGGTGAAACTAACTAGGAACCATCAATTTCAAGGCTTCTAAAACAGCCCTGAACTGTCTAGGTCCTGTCAATTTTGAGGCTCTTATTAGAGGCATAAACCAGTCTGGAAAACAAGACAATAAGCCTTAAATGTCTGTGAAAAACCTACATAGGCTACTTCTCTAGTTAATGAGAATTGTATATATTAAGTTGGGGCTAAGCATATACGCCAGGTAGGTGCATAGGCATTGTTAATTCAGCGTTCAGCTGAGGGTATGCTTTTAAATGGAGTACGCTGTACATGTCTTTTGCAAGTGGAAAATTTCCTTCGCAGCCTTCATTGGGATGACTCCCAAATCACATAGGTTTAAGGGAGGATAATCAGGTCTAAAATCATCCCTTAAACCTCTGTTAGACCCAATAAAGTTATTAAAATTGCAGAGGGTGGACCAGGGCAGAAAGCAATCAAAAGTCCTTGCCTTTCCTGTACATGCCCTGACTTTGTATTATTATTACATAGATGCTGGGTGCCATTTTTTTCACCAACACTTGTTCATGCTAGAGGTGTTCAGTTCTTCACTATTTTTCCCTGAGTACAGGGATACTCTGGGTCCATAGCTCTGCAGGCTATGCAGTAGGGCTATACGTCAACATCAATCTCAGTCACTATAGTTCACTGAGAGGCCAAAGGAACCAGATTCTTGCTTAACTTCCCTTGACATTTTTTGCTTGCCTGAGACCTAGTCTACACTATAATATTTGCTGACAGAATTTGAAGTCCACCATCAAAGTCCCTCTATGAAAGCACAGCTCCTTTTTGCCTCTGCAAAGCAGAGTAAAGGTTCTGCACTGTCCAGTAGAAAGAACATGTAGACACTCTCAGGGTGGATTTGGTGGCTCTTTCAGCTGCTGGTGCATTCTTGGGGTGCACTTCACCTTCTTGCATTATAACTGCTCTGGCACCTGGGTAGTCATGGTAGCTATCTGTTGCCAGAATTTCTGGGGCAGAACCAGGCAAGTGTATACAAGGGCTGTTTGAAAAAGTATTTTGGATGGTACATGCTTGTGGCAGGGGATGAGCTTCACTGATACAATTTCTCTTATCTCAGCACATCCTGGCCATTGACATATGGGAGTAATAATTTAGGCAAGCCAGGGGCACTCTCCAGCAGTAATCCTATTCATCTAGAAGTGTCCTGATGAAGGTTGGAACACCCAGTACAAACTGGTTTGTTGTTTGTTTCCTTTGATTTCTTTCCTCTCCACATATACAAGCAAAGTAAGTTCAGGTTTAGGCTATTGCTGAACATGCTGGGTCAGGACCTCGAATGCTGAAGTTCCAGTGGAGTTTTGCTATTTGTTCTTGGTGATGTTTTTTACCTACCACATCATATAATGGCATCCCACCTGAGTGGCTATTCTGTCATAAGCTATAGGCCAGCAATGGTGAAGTCATTAAAGACAACTCAGTGTAATCCAGCAAAAGTGTATTGGTTACAATGGCACAAGAACAAATGGGTATAAACTGGCTATAACTTAAGATTTGGTTGATTTCTAACCAATAGAGCAGTGAAGTTTTGGAACAGCTTTCCAATAGGGCTAGTGGGGACACAAAAAAACCCTCTATGTGGTTTTAAGACAGAACTTGGTAAATATATGAATAAAATGATATGAAGTGGCTACCTGAGGTAGCAGGGATTGGACTCATGACTGAGGAGGTTCTTTCCAGTTCTATGTTTAAAAGGACGAAGACAGCAGAACATACTGAATTGGAAGTTGGTGTAGACAGGAAGAAAGGACTATAAAGATTAAGCACCATGTTGCTTGATAGATTTTTAAGGCCAGAAAGTGCAGTTAGATCAACTCCTGTCTGTATATGTTGCAGGCAAATCTGATGCACACCAGCATGGGTGACCAACTAAAATAAGTGCAAGGTAGAAAAATCAGTTGCCAATTCAAGCGAGTCAGACAGAGGGATTATTATGTGGGTGGAAGTGCCTAAATGCCCAAGATTTCAGCAGTCTGAATGGCTGCAAAGTCAGATATGTAGGATCAGTATCACTACTGAAATAGTCATCCTGAATCACCAGCTTCATAAGTAATAAGCGTTTCCTTATGGTGTGAGATATTTAGTCAGGAGAATGGGGATATTTAAGGCTCTACCTGTTTTCAGATGGATTCTGAACCTAGCCTTTAACAGCAGGCTGCTTGGTCTAGTCATCCAGTCCAAAGACCATATTTATAGTAGTGGTATTGTGGAGAAGGGAGGCAAGCAATCTTAGGGGCAAGTGATTCATGGCTGTAGGACAGAATGGTGTGTCAAGAATGGTTATGAAAAGCCAGCTTCATCTGAATCCACAGCAAACAGGTGAAAAGCCAGGTTCTCAGATTTTATTATTGTGCTGATCTGTATAAAAGAGCCCATACTCCATGAAGATCATTAACAATAGGATTTGTATTTCTTTCCCCCACCAGTACAGCTCCAAATTGAGAATTTCTGTGTTATAAATCATCACAGACACAAAGCAAAAGTAAGAAAGATGAGGAGGGAGCAAGTGAAGAAAAGTGGTGGGGGATGGGGGAATAAAAACAGACCAAGGAAAATTGTCCGAACTACTGGAATTATCGACTGCTCTTTGGTTGATATAATGTATAGCCACAAAAATACATTGAAATGAGACCAAGCATTTTCATTTGCCTAGAAGAGAGGCTGGAACATGGAGAAAAGAAAGGAAAAAGGTTCTTTTATTATCATCATTTATATTCGTTCTTTCTCTTAATAATTTCATTCATCTTGGATGGATTCACTGCTTTCTTCTAGAGGGAAGCAAGCTTGCCGATGTCCATAGCCAGATTTCTGGAGGCTCTCCCCAGCAGCTCTCCTCCGGCCAAACCTTCCTACAGGTCGGATCCCACGGCCAGTGTACCAGGAAGGGTCAATGTCTGGGTCTGGAAAACAAAATTCCAAGATATAATGAGAACATGAGGCTGAGGGAAAGGTCTGTTATACCTGCAGTGTTGTCACTGGTAAGCAGCCTAGTCTAATGGCCTGAGAAATACTAATGAAGAGGGCATAGTGGTGCTGCAGAGGAAGGCCTTGGGGAGTTGGAAGTAGGCCATGAGGCCTGTCAACTTCATGACTTCAGTTCACTGCATATTTGCTAGTCCGGCTCAGCATTTGACCTACTGATCTCCGAAGTTCATAGGAGAAAGTACTGGTTTGGGGGAGAGCCAGGGCTGAGGAAACAATGGAAGTCTGTGCCTGGGCCTCCTTCTCAGGTCTGGCTAGAGCCCCTACATAATGAGCTTTTCTTCCCTGCACAGTTAGCTCAGGTTGTAACTCAAGTGTTGCTACTAGCCAACTCCTGTCCACACATAACTTGTATTTTTAACTCAAGCTGGTTAACTCACCAGGACATACTGGCTAAAATTAAGAGCAGAAA